TATTTTGAAAAAGATCTTATGACAAAAGTTATATATATAAAAAAAGCTCTTGCGATTTACATCCGAACGTATTTAAAATACTTTGTTGCAGCAAGGTGTCCCTTTGTTGCCTTAGTTCGCTAACGCAGCAGCCAGTTTAACCTCTTGAGCATGCCCGCAAAAATTTTTTAAACAAATGCGACATGCACTGAATTTTCTTACTTTCTTAACCTCCCCACAGTGTTAGTCTCTTTACCCTCAACCAAACAGGATATAACAAAACTTCGAAAAGTTCAATGGAAAGTAAAAAAAAATCCCTCTTGTCGAAGAAAGTATTCTTATAAAGATATATATTGTATCCTCATGTTTTTGTTTGAAAATTTTGATTAAAAATAACAAAAAAGTCAATGGTTTAAACTACATTTTAAAATATCAGCCTTGATTATTGGCTGGGTACATATATAACTAAAATTTTTATTTCAAGTTCACAGTAGATTTTTTTTCATGTTCTCATTAATATTTTCAAAATTTAAAACGTTTTATATAAAAAAAAACGTTGTGAAAAAAATAAATTGCCAGAAAATTTGATCAAAAAATGACTATCAGGTTCAGTTTTAAAATGTTAAATTTTTTGTATATAAATAATAAGTAGAAAAAGACAGAGAAAGATGGTGAACGTTCTGAAAATCCTGAGTTTTTGCAAAACTCTCAGCCATATCGCAATAATATTTCAGTATGTTTATTTTAAGATAATGATTCATTGCCTGGTTTTGATCTAGTTTGCAAGTAAAAAAATTGTAACAAAGTTTAAAATATAAATAATTTATAATCTTGTCTGGTGACCGAGGCAAACGACTTGAGGTTTTCTGTTATTGCTGATGGAAACCATCCGTTAGCAATAACTGAAAATGAGATTTTTTAAGAGCAAAAATGACAAAAAAAAAAAAAAAACTTACGCGTATAAAATTACGTTAGCATTATTTAAAAGTTCCAACTGCTGTTTTAAAATGCAAAATATAATTACAATTTTGTTTCCCCCATTTAATTTTTTTTTAAATGCCAACTTGCGCTATTCACTATAGTGCGCCGTTTTCTCTTTTTGGATTTTTCTATAGAGACCCAAGTTATTATTAAAAACTTCAGTGATTTATAGTAAGTAATGAGTGATCAAGTGTCAATAAGGACAACCATTTTAGTAATTTTTTTTAGATAAAACTAATAACTTTTTATTAACTTTCAAAGTAGACCTCGCTTTTTTTTAATAATTCGCTTTATTTTTTATTTTTTTTAACTATTGGTTATTTATTACATTTTAAAAAAGATATCTGTTGATAAATATCAAATTCAAAAATATAATAATAGTTTTACATTTTCGTTTTTAAGAAACAAAAGAATGCAGACTTGAATTTTCACAAACAAATAGAAAAAATGCAATAAAAAAAAATTTCATTAGAAATAAAAGAACTCAATCAATTATACTTTTAAATATTAATTACATGTAAAATAGCTTGTATCTCTTTTCTCTTATAATACGTTATCTACAAGAAGCCGGTAGAAAAACAAATAATTTAGAATTAAAAACGTAAAAAAAAATTAAAAATAAAAATTCCGCTATAAATATGAAAATGCGTTATTCAGTTTTAAGATTTATCAAAAGTGTTAAAAAAAATTTTTCAAATTTTTGTCAATTGTTATTTAACACTATTTACAAGTTTTATTAAAAAAATTTATAAATTCAAAATTTTTTACAAAAACTTGAATTATATGACTGATATTTTTCAGTTAAAATAATAATTATTATTAGCCAGGACAGACGTGTATTGACAAATTCTGGTCGGTGTATTAATTAAAAGCAACATAAACTCAAATCACATTTTTTTATTTTACTTTTTTTTGTGGTCGGTTTTTTTAATTATATGATGATGTAAATATGTGCTAAAACTTTTAATAACGCCAGATATTTGGCGTTATTAAAACACTCAATGGTGGGCGATAACAACAACTAACTGTAATACTTTTGGTTTTTTGAATTATTAATTTAATGAATAACTCTTTATAACAATCAAAAAACACTTATGTCAAGCCTGAATAATAACTTCAAGGACTCCTTTACGTAAATAATCACGACTCCGCCGCGCTTATTGGTTTTCCGCGCTAATAAGACAATTTAAACTCTGGTAAGTTAAAATTAGAGAATTGGTCAGTTAAAATTAATGATCACACCGTGTTTTTTAATCATACTTAACTTTAACTTTTGCAAATGTCATGTTTCCTTTAATTGCTCGTTTATTTACTAAAATTTTCGTTTAAAATGTTTTTTCATTCTCAAATTTGAGCAGACTCTATTTTTTAAAAACGCTTTTATTATAGTTTGAAAAGTTTGCAATTATTATTTTTCGTTTTTTCGTTCCGAATTTAATATTTTTCCATGTTCTATGCGCCCTCTCGGTAAAAACTTTGTTTAATAAGCCAAGCCTTCTTTTTAATAAAAAAACAAAAAAACCTCAAGATTTCATTAACTTACCTGCTAAGTTTCGTTTTTCTTATTTTCAAAAATTTCAAATCGTAAATTATTTCTTTTGCTTCTGTCTTCCATTTCCGCAAGTTTATCATTAAAGTGATTTATTCTGAAAGTGAAAATATTTGAAAATATTGATAACAGCACTACTTTTCAATGAAACTAATATTGTCTTAAATTGTTCACTTTTTTATTTTTTATTATTTTTATAAATAGATTCGAAATCGCTGTCATTTTTATAATTTCATTTGAAAAAGGCATTGCATTTTTAATATTTACAATCCATTTTTTAAACTAAATTTTTTCTTTTTATAACTTTTACTCTTTTCTGATAATTTTTTTGTCAAAAATTTATTTATATATTCGTGCACTTCAATAAATTCTTTTACTCAGGGCCGCCGAGAGCCGTCACGTCATCTGGGGCGGCAGCCGTGGTTGGTGCCCTTATTTATAAAAATTTCCCTAAACATATATATATATATATATATATATATATATATATATATATATATATATATATATATATATATATATATATATATATATATATATATATATATATATATATATATATATATATATATATATATTGTTTTTAGTTACCTTGTTGGCGCTCCTTGTTGTCGTCTGGGACGGCATCCGTGGTTGGTGCTCTTATTTATAAAAATTTGCCTGTATATATAAATATATATATATATATATATATATATATATATATATATATATATATATATATATATATATATATATATATATATAATATATATATATATTGTTTTTAGTTACCTTGTTGGCGCTCCTTGTTGTCGTCTGGGACGGCATCCGTGGTTGGTGCTCTTATTTATAAAAATTTGCCTGTATATATATATATATATATATATATATATATATATATATATATATATATATATATATATATATATATATATATATATACCTGCTTCCCGGGACGAACTGTCCCTTTCGCCCACCCCTTTTGGTGGCCCTACTTTTACTTGAGAAATTAATAATTTTTGAAGTTTGAAGTTTTCAACCTAAAAAATTATTCTACAATCTCTCGGGAAAGAAATGACGATGGACAGATAAAATCATAATAAACATGTCAAAAAAAGGTTTTATATCTTATTTAAACAAATTTGTTACATATTTTCCATGCATTGCTTATAAATTGAATGAAATTAGATTGTACTCCGTGAAAAAGATTTACCCAAAAAACTAAATTGGTACACCTTTGTGTATATAACATTTCCGTTCGCAGCGATGTTAAGAAGCGCTGAGTTTCTTAACATCGCTGAGTTTAACATAGGTTAGTGTTTTAATAGAATATAACAGAAATGTTTTTAATGATTCAGGAAAACTAGCGTATTTAGCAAAATACAAATCAAAGGAATTGTATGAAATAAGAAAAAGAAAACTGTAAATAAATTTTTTTTTAGAAACGTTTTTGGAAGTTTATAATTTTAAAGATTTGAGTTTAAAATTACCTAAAAAACCGGTTGTTAAGTTGCAAAACTGGTTTGTAATACTTGTGTCGTAATATTAGTGTCGTAATACTAATGTCTATTGGTGTCGTAATAAATAAAATAATCACGTGATTTACGTGGGTTACCGAATATATATAATATGTACAACGTTATCGTGTAACTCAGAAAAACCGATTTTGGTTGAAAAGAGTTGGTAACGTATGATGTAGGAGCTTGTATAGAACTTTCAATTTTTAAAAATATGATTTATTAAATTTTTTTAGATCTACGATCCTGATTTAAATTTTATTGTAATATTTTGAATATCATTATACAACATATTATAATATTACTTATATTATTATATTATATATTATTATATGTAATTTATTACATATTGATACTTTACATTGTAATATATAATTACTATATTATCATATATTATATTACCAATATGTAAAACTGACTTTGGTTCAAAAAATTGGTAGCGTATGAGTTATATTTATGAGGTTTGTATATAACTTCTGATTTTTATAAATATGGCAAAGTTATTAATGATTATCTATCATTAAAAAGCGAATCTCAAGTAACGATTGCAAAACGTTAAAAAATTAGTATTTAATAATTTTTAATAAATCTAAATAACTTGATCCAATCACTAAGGTTGATTTATTGAAATTTGAATTTTTTTCTTCGGGTGCCAGTTTGGCTTCTGTTTGAAAACATTAAAAAAGCATCTTACGGTTTATTACTCTTTTAGTAACACAAAGAATAATAAAGCTTACTTACTTTTGTTCAGGTTGTTGTTGATGCAATTGCTGTTAGTTTCTATTTGTACTATATTAACCTTGGATCTATATTATTTGACTTCTATTATTTTGTACATATTTGCGTCTTCTGTAAAAAATAAAGCCTTCAAATTCTAAAGTATTTTTAGGACTTTTTGAGTCTGGTGGGGGAGGTGGGGATGGGTACCCCTTTAACTCCTCTGGATCCGTCACTAACCAGCCTTATTAATAGTTTGTTTGCCTTTTATTACCAAATAGTTTGATTTCAAAATGTTTTTATATTTAGTTACCCAAATAACAAGTAAAAAATTAAAATTAAAAAATGTGCAGCAAATTTGGAGAAGACACCACTGCAATGGAGGTTGTAGAAGGCATCAGCCTGAAAGGCTATGAAGTAATCGTTACCGGTGGAAACTCTGGAATTGGTATTGAAACTATTAGAGCATTAGCAAAAGCTGGTGCCAGATGTGTTCTTTCTACAAGAGATTTGGAAAAAGGACACCAAGTTGCTAAAGAACTAATTGCTTTTACAGGGAACGATCAGATCGAAGTGGAGCTACTTGAATTGGACTCGTTAGAAAGTGTAGATAATTTTGTGCAAAGATTTCTTGCAAAAAACAGACCGTTAAATATATTGGTTAATAACGCTGGAGTTATGGCGTGTCCTAAATCTTTCACTAAAAATGGATTTGAAACCCAATTTGGTGTTAATCATATGGGGCATTTTGCTTTGACTGTTGGACTTTTACCTGCGTTGAAAGAAGGCGCAAAACTTATGAATAATAAATCTAGAGTAGTCAATGTCAGTTCAACAGCGCATGCGTTTCAGAACGTTGATTTCAATGACATTCATTTTACAAAAGGTAGAAAATATGAAAAGTTTTTATCTTATGGACAATCAAAAACATGCAACTGCTTGTTTTCATTAGCTTTGACGAAGCGATTTTTTAACGATGGTATTGCTTCGAATTCAGTTATGCCTGGAGTTATCATGACCAATTTGGGAAGACATATAGGTAAAGATTTTTGGATTGAAAGAGAACTGATTGATGAAAACGGTAAATTACTAAAAAAATTTAAAACAATTGAGGCGGGCGCCTCAACCTCAGTGTGGGCTGCAGTATCACCAGAATTAGAAGGAAAATCTGGTCTGTATCTGGAGAATTGTTCCGTTGGCAAGGAAGAAGCAGACATCAAAAAAATACACACTTTGTTCGTTGGTTATGCCCCATATATTATGAATGAAGAAGCTGCTGATAAACTTTGGAATATCTCAGAAGAGCTATTAAGAAAAAGATCTATCTGACATCTCTTCTTGTAAGTCAACATATCTATACAATCTTGCAAATATCTTACGTAAACAATCTTACAAATTTTATTTTATAATTTGGAGCATAAACTTGTAAAATTTAAGTAAAAATGTAAAATTTAAAGAAAAAATAAACTTTATTTGTTTGAACACCAAGTTTTTTGTTTTAATCTGCCACTGTGTACGCTTTATTTGCAAATTTTTTTTCTTTGCTTAGTAAAAAAATGATACGAAATTTTAAAATTTTAAAACCACATATATAATCCTATACTAAATGTGTTTATAGTGTTATATTAAAAAAAAGACATAAAGTGTTATATTAAAAAAAAAAAAAACAGTTTTTGCTATGTAGTACTTTCTTTTTTTCAGCCTTTTTTTTCCGATTATTCAGATTTATTCTTTGTATAATATAAACAAAATTTATTTGTACTAGTTTTAAATATAATCAAAACATACCAAGAAATATGACATCCAGCCCAATAGTATGTGACAACCAACCCCGTGGGTCGGGTTTTGTTGTTACAAAGAGATCTTTGATAAATGATATTAAGTCAAAAAATATTTCACTCAATGTCATAAAAGTATTACAATAGTTACCGGAAATAGTTAAATTTCTTTCGTTCAAAGTTTGGCATTGATTTGATGAAAACAAAAAGCTAAGCAGTCTAAAATGTAAAAAGTGTGACAATCAACCCCCCGCTCTCCCCTACTAAATATTTTTATGTATTTTAAATTGAAAAAGTTTAAATTTTTATTGTTCAAAAGTTAATAAAATTGAAAAAATAACGAACTAGGGTAGAGCGAGGCATATCGGGACAGAGCGGGATAACGGGGCAGGTGTGCCTGAAGCCTTATCTCTCAACTCAATTTTTTTTTTTTTTTGCAAAATGTTTTTTGATAAAACATTTTAAATTATTTTGCTTCGTTATAGTAAAAAAAAAGAAATACCAAAATGCATTAAAAGTACAAAAACGCATTTGCAAAAAACAAATTTGCAAAAAACAAAGCTTGCGTATTTTCTTAAGCGATTTAACGACAAAAGATTTATCTTAAACTATTGCTAATTTTTATTTATAAAAAGTTTATATTATTCACACAAAATATTTTATGCTTTTTCAAAATCTGGTTTTAAAATAGTATTTGGAAATGAACTTTTTGAATAGTATTAATTTCAATAAAACTACTTTTTGTGGGGCATATTATGCCAACAAATTATATATATATATAATTGAGTATATTACTACCATTTCGTGATGCTGTTTACAGTTTGATGATTTTAACTTTAATCTAAAATATTTGTTTTCGTTTTTTAAAAGCAATATTAGTTATGAATTTAAAGAAATTTGTGTCCCTATTTGCCCCACTCTACCCTAATTTTTTTAATATTAATTTTTAATTTTTGCGGAAAACATAGTAGTATATTGTTTCACCAAAAAGTAAAATTTGAACTTTTAATGATTTTGTTAATAACGAATAGTTTTATTTTAGTTTTGTTAATAACGAATAGTTTTATTTCAAAAACTGGTTCTAATTGTCAGGAAGCTATTTTTTTACTTGATGTTATTTTTTTTTGAGCTTATCTAAAGTGGTCATATTACCTAGTTGTGTAGGCTCAGTGTAGTTAAGGAGAGATCCGAAAAAATATAAATAGCTTTTTGGCCCTTTCGTTTTCAAAAAAAGCCGTTTTATTTTGTACGCGTTTTAATTGGTTTATTTTTTAAAAAAATCGCAAAGCTCGTTGTTCTATTTTGTTTACAAATATTCGGTGATTTTATTATTTAAAGAGTTTGAAGTTTTAGCCTAATACTATGGAGCAGAAGTTATATATAACCATTCCACGGAGCATGCAGTAATTGATCTTGCAAACCAAATTCTAAATAGTTTTGAAAACAATAGTTATACACTCGGAATATTTTTTAGATCTATCTAAAGTCTATGATACTGTCAACTACAAGATTCTTATCTATAAACTATGTAATTACGGAGTAGCTCACTCTAATTTAAAGTGGCTGCAATGTTATTTAGAAAGTCGTAAACAAGTAGGACCATTTGATTTAACATGCTCCCCATTTGAGTCAATAAGTTGTGGAGTTCCACAAGGATTAATACTTGGACCTTTGCTGTTTTTAATTTATATTAATGATATTTATTTGTCATCAAAAGTACTTAATTATATTATTTTTGCTGACGACACAAATGTTTTCTTTTCTGACTCAAATTTAAAAAATATTTTTTGTAATGTAAGCACAGAACTAACATATCTCAATGAGTGATTTATAGCAAATAAACTTTCATTGAATATTAAAAAAACAAAATATATTTTGTTTGCTAAACCATCTAAATCCGAGAACCTTCCACTTACACTACCAGACCTAACTATTAACAATATTAAAATAAAAAGAGTTTTTTCAAAGAAATTATTTCGAATAATTTTTGACGAACATATAAATTGAAAAAGCCAAATAAAGCTAGTCGAGAACAAAGTCTCAAAGACTTTAGGGATAATGTATAGGACTTCTTTTGAATAAAATATGTATAAAAAATTTTTATTTTTCGTTTATAGATATTCATTTTAACTATTGTAATATTGCATGGGCAAACAATCACTCATCTTTCCTAAAAACTATTTATACAAAACAAAAGCAAGCAAGTCGATTAGTTTCGGGAACCCGAAGCCGAGCCGTTACTCAAGGAAATAAATGCCGTAAATGTATACAAATAAAACATCAACCGTAACTTGTTATTTATGTTTAAACTTCAAAACGAATTAATTCCAAAATATTTTTATAAAAACTTCTCTCTTATTAATCATAAATATAAAACAAGTCACTAAATAAATAATTTCTACGTCCCACTAATATCACTCAAAAAATTTGACTTCTCAATTACATGTCGCTTGTGGAACTCGGTTCTTGACGAAAATATGAAAAAAATAAAACCTATTGATATATTTAAAAGAGCTATAAAAAAACACTTTTTAAATTTAAACTATACGCACATACTTTCATTTTTTTTTAATTAAAAAATGAATATATATATATATTTTACATACATATATATACATTTTACATATATATATATATATATATATATATATATATATATATATATATATATATATATATATATATATATATATATATATATATATATATATATATATATTTATATATATATATATATATTATATATATATAACCTTCTTGTATATTTATATATATATATATATATATATATATATATATATATATATATATATATATATATATATATATATATATATATATATATATATATATATATATATATATATATATATATATATATATATATATATATTCTGCTTGTTTCTTTTTGTTAGTCTGTTTTAATTTTGTTTTTTAAAAAAAACGAATAGATGAATTTAAGTCTATAAAATGTTCGGAATCTTTTGAAAATCAAAATATCTTTTGCATATTAAATATATATTATGAAGTTTATTGGATATGTATACACACATGTACCGATTTGTAGATTATTTTTTCAAACCTTTTTATTTTTTAATATTTTCAAACTTTATAGTTTTGTCAAACTTTAAAATTATTTTTAAAACTTTTTTATTTTTTTCAATCATTTAAATTTGTTTTTTTAAACTTTTTTTAATTTCACTCTTTTTTATATTATTGGAAGTTGTAAAACTTTATTTCATTTTTTCTATTTTCACGAAGGGACTTGATGATAAGACATTTTGTCTTCTACTTGCCCCAGTCAGCTTGTAATTGTATAAACTTATTTGAATGTAAGGTTAACTTTGTAAAATGTGTTAAATGACGAAATAAAAAATAATAAAAAACTATATATAAAAACTGAAACGTTTCTGTTTAGTAATTTATTCAAACAACTATAAAGAGATTATGGAAATAAATTGCTATCAGTAAAAATTATTGTGAATACTTTGATTTTAACGTTTTTAATGTTTACGGAAAGATAAAAAAACAGGTTTTTATTCATTTATTTAATACTTTAAGGCTGTTAACATGAAGTCTTTTTACTTTCGAATAAAAGAGACATTTTTGGATTGTAAGTACTGTTTTTTTTATTTTTAATTTAATTTTGATCTTTAGGTGCCTCAAGAAGACCTACGGTCTTGTCACAGAGCACCGCGGAAGTGCATTTAACCAGGAAGTTTACGCCTCCTTCTTTGCCGTGACGCAAAAATATGTCTAGAACCTCGATCTCCTGCTTCTTAAGCAAGCGCTCTAACCACTGCACTATGACCGCACTTTTAAACTTATAAATACTTATTGTATAATATATATTATATTGTATAACATATACTATATTGTATAACAAATATATTGCATAACATATATTATAACACATTTGAATTGCTAATTTGAAAAAAGAGACATGTTCTGCAAAAATTCATTTAAGATGTCCCCTTTTTCAAGTCCTAAATTCTACTTTTTAAAAATATATAACAGTAATAGACGAAAATAAGCGGAAACTAAAAAAATCGAAGTTTAAAAGTGTAAATTTTTATTTTTAAGAAATGCAAATCGTTCGGATCTCTCCTTAACTACGCTGTGGATAATATGAGCACTTTTGCAACTTTTTTAAAACTTTTGTAATTTTAAGAAGAAACCTAGGGTGCTCACATATCTACTTGAATCATGAGTAAGAATCCCTAAAAATTGTTTATTTGTAAAAATTTTGAATCCAGCATAATTATTTTTGAAAAATTCTAATTTTCGCTTAAGGGGCTCATATTACCATAATCTACCCTACCTAACATATTTTTATTTTTATTATTAATTCTTTTGAAAACTTGCAACATTTACTCCGTATAGAAAAAGTAACAACATGGAAGTACTAACGACACTCTATGTTGTTTCCATGGTGAATTAATTTAAAAGATAATTCTTAGAAGTAATTAGAAATTGCAATAAATAAAATGACAAATTGTGGGCAAATAAAAAAATACTTTTTTTTTGCCCACGTTTTTTAAAATAAGAGTTAAATCAAGTATAGCAAATGCCCATTAACTATTCGAGGATATGATTTATGGGTTTAGATATTATAAAGGACCTTTGAATTCAAGTGGTTGTTTACGCAAATACTTAGAAGTATCGAAGTATACTTATGAAGTACGGAAGTAGAAAATATATGAATTTAG